GAAAGGAGGTTTCAAAGTAGCAAGGCTAGCGAATTCAGTTCCTTGCTGGGAAGACTGTAAGGCTCTAGTTAATCTACATATACCAAAAACGCTGTAAGGCCAAGCCAAGAGAAGCTTCTGGCAGCACATCTACAGTGTTAAAGAATACTCAACGGAGGCTGCAAGACAGCAAAGCAAAGCAAAGTATTGTTCAAGGAAACTACAATTTAAGGACTAACTAACCGCAGAGGCCACCGACAGTCCGGAGCAGATAGAAATCTTAAGTGACTAATATTATATTATTACTAAGAAGAATTTCTGTGCGATACAGACATTCTGAGGTTATAAGTCACCAATTATAGATAGAATTTTCACTGTAATTGCTAAGGAAAGCAGAAAAAAAAGTCCAATTTTGACGTAAAATCCGAATTTCAATAGCTTTTTTTGTTTTGTAACTAGTTTAGGTCTAGTTCAATTTTTGATATCCTCCAACATTATTTCGTTTATGTAACAAACGAATAATGAAATCGAAAGAACTTTAAAATTCTATTAAATTTATTTCTAGATCATTTCGTTACTAGTTTGAGACCAACCAATGACTGGACTAGTTCAAAAAAAATACTTTTGAATGTTACTTGTTTTGAATGATTTGAGGTAGCTTAAAATACAATTAAGACATAAGCTCGGAAATCCAATGTAACTAGTTTGTAACTAGTTCAATTTTTTTTTTATATTTCGGCAGCTTTTCGTGGATGTATATATATTATATTTCCTAGCTCAACGATTTATTTGTTAGTACACTAGTAGTATTAGTAATACTAAGTTCTACTGGTAATATTAAGTAATTGCTACTAAAACCATTTTGTTTTTCCACTTAATCTATGGACAATACACTTAGATGCTATCAAAATAATAAATAAATATCAGTTTTCATCAATTTTTTAATTCAATTAAGTGGCAATTTTTTCAATTTAATTTGATATCATTAACTTCACCTTGAAATAAAAGCTCTTTTTATTGGTTTTCCTTTTCCTCCTGCACATATCGCTGTTATTTCGTTTTTCCACATTAAAGATTTCCACTTCACTTGATTAAAATCTACATCAATTTATATCAGTCATACTCACGCATTTTATTGTTACTTGGTTACATTTCATTTTAATAGCTTTAATTTCAATAGATTTAAGTCGTACATATTTAAGGTGTAAGAAACTCTCCTACACATTTGTATATGTAAGTGCGTATATACATGTCATTCTTTAAATCTGTCACTTTCCACTGATATTTCCTTTCACCAGTTGGTCTGACTCTGTGCTTGCACTCTGCTGGCAAAAATGTTGCGTATACGCCACAGCAGCCTCAGCATACACACTTGTGGGTATTTCCTATTCTTTTATGCTCCGTGCATTACTAAGATTTTCGAAAAATTTAAGGACAGGTAATATTTGAAATGCTCAACAATTATGACAGTTAAAATTTTGTGACAACAACAATGTCAATCATGACATATAATTTATTTCTGAGAGTTAAAGTCTACTCAATACAATTACCACAAAATGACCTAAATTATAATGAAAAGTTTATTCACTTGCCAGCACCTTTCTGTATGAAAATGTTTAAAATATTAAGAGCTTAATGTTAATTTGAGACTTATTGTACATAATGGTAATTTTGGCTATAATTTATGTCATGCTTTCTAAAGAACAAGTGCTTTAGCACAAAAAAATGACAGAAAAATTTTTAAAAAATTAGAAAAAAAGTATAGTGCATATAAATTAACGCTTTTATTCTTTTCTCCAAATTTCTTAACCAACTTCACACAAAGTCCAACAGGAATGAAATTAAATTTCAAAATAAGTGTTTACCTCTTCGGGCAGCATAATGCAAGGTATCTTGCGCACACGTCAGCCATTTTATGAGCGATAGAAAATTTAGCAATTGATTAACTCACGTACCTATTGTATATATATGTGGCTATAAATAATTTACGCACCACTGCATGTACTTACAAGATCCCCTCACATCTACCACACATTTAACGACACCAAACTAAACTATGCTTCCAGCAAGTGAACGCGTTTATTGCTGATTCATCAGAAGCAGTGCCTGTTTTATGCATGAGTTTTATGTGTGACCACTAAAAGTGTACTTTAATTTAAGTTTTCTTATTAAACTTTGCATTTTTACGATAACTGTGGCTTTCCTGGCAGCCTACGATATGTTTTTTTTTTATATATATATCTATAAAAATCAAATCTTAGGGTAATATCAGAAAAGAGAACTGGAGATACCGTTTAAGAATAAATTAAAATATCACAGAATGAAATAAAATTAAGAAATAAATAAAATAAAATTAATCAAAACAAAATTAAATTAAATTAAAAAAGAATAAAAAAAATTAAATACTATAAAACAAAATAAGCTAAAAATAATCAACATAAATTGAAGTGAGCTGAAATACAATTAAATAAGATAAAATAAAATAAAATAAAATAAAATAAAATAAAATAAAATAAAATAAAATAAAATTAAATAAAATAACATAAAATAAAATAAAATAAGTTACAAAAATAACAAAAACAAAAACAGCAATAAGTTAAAATAAAATAAAAGTAAAATTGAAAATATTGAAGTAAAATAAAACAACAAAAATAAAATAATAATATAAATAAATATAAAGTGAAACAAATAAAGAATGAAACAAAATTTATTCCAACAAAGTAAAATAAAAGAAATTTAAAATAATAAAATAAAATTAACTGAAATAAAGTTAACTCAAATAAAATAATTAAATAAATAATAAAAAAAATAAAGATAAAGAAAAATATACTAAAAAATAGAATAAAATAAAATTAAATGAATAATTTCAAATAAAGTAAAGTATGATTAAAACCTTACACTGAAACAAATTAAAACAAGATGAAATACAATTAATCTAAAAAAAAATACAGTGAAAAAATTAAATTAAATAAACCGAAACAAAATAAAATGAGACAAAATAAAACTTATAAAGTTAATTGCAATAAAGTTATTCTAAATAAAATAGTAAAAAAGGAAACATTTCGGTAGGTAAATCATTAGAAAAAAAACTGAATTCAAAAACTATATCAAACCAATTTAATTATTAATAAAATAAATAGTAAATTTATCTTACTTTTCTATTAACTAAATCATAAAAAACAATCTCATTTCAAATAGTTTTAAAAAAAAAAGTTTCATTAAAACCATCAATAGCAAGCCGTTAAATTTGTCTAAAACTGAAATCACATAAATATTGTCACAAAAAGAAATAACAAAAGCCTGCTTTTTACTATGTAGCCGTCCTTACTGCAAATATTTTATGTACAAATGTTAGAGAAATAAAAGTAGAGAGAAAGAAAGGAATCAACAAACATCAACGACAAGTTCAATTTCGGGTTTTCTATTTATTTTAGTTTTTTTCTTTTATGGTATTCTCTATGTAGAGAGTCGAGCAATTCAATAAATATTCGATTACACTTGTACTTAGGTGAGTAATAGAAGAAGTCAGTAGGAAAATATGCCCATTGCTAAGCAAGGTCAGCACAAGCACAAGCTCAAAATCTGGTCTCTTCACTCTCCAACCTTCACTCAGATAGTTTTCGGTAGTTGGTCTCGAACACTTAATGGCTTCTCTTGACAAAAGCATATTGCAATATTTCCTCATTAGAAATATTATCTAAGGTTTTTTCTACCGACCCCATGTGAAAATTGAAAAAAAGAACTCAACCACTACAAACACATATGTTTAACATCTCTCTACGAATATGTTTATTTATTGCTTTCGCTGAATTTGGTACATTCATTGCATACATGATTTGGCTTCCTAAATTGCTTTTGCGCCAACCTCGTCAATTCAGCTAACCCACAGCTAAGCCATATTGTATGCATGTATATATGTATATTATATACTAAGTATGTGAATATACGTGTATGCAAACACAGAACAAAAATAAAATATATTCGCACGACATTGATTTGATTTGTAATCCGACATGAGTGCCATATTCGAGATGTTGTTTTCATGTTCTTGGCTGTACTGAGGGAAAAAGCAAAAAAATCAAAAAACGGACATGAAAATTTACTCCATTGAATGGCCACCAAAACACGGTGTTAAAGAATAAATATTTAACAATGAACTGACTGTACCAACCAATTCCTAGTTATAAAAAATAAAATAAGATAAAAAAAATAAAGTGAAATCAAATAAAATAGCAAAATTTTTTTTGGAAAAATAATAAAATAAAACGAAATAATAAAAATAAGATAATAAAAATAAAATAATAATATTTTATAAAAAAAAGAATTCAATTAAATAATGTCAAATAATATAAAATAAAATAAAATAAAATAAAATAAGAAAAAAATTAAATAAAATAAAATATAAATATAGTAAAAAAAATAAAGTAAAGTATTTTAAAATAAAAAAAAGAATAAAATAGAGCTAAATAAACTAAATCAAAATTAAAATACATTAAATTGAAAAATAGTCAACCTAAAATAATATTATAAAACAAAGGAAAATAAATTAATATATGTGCTTTGGTAGCGCTGCTACTTAGTTTGTTTTTATTTCAATAAGTTTCTAGAACTCTATAGGATTTAGAAAATCGTAAAAATTTATAAATAATTAAGGTAAATTTGACTTTAAACAGAGGTGCCAGATCAATTTTTTGGTGGTCTTGCCACTATTTTTTTTTTAATTTATTTTTTATTTTATTTTTCAAAAGAAATGCTTCTTAGAATGAACCGAGAATAGATATAAGAAGTATAAACAAAGAGTACTCTGTCGGTCCTGCCACTGACCCAACCCCACACAGAGCCTGTTCTCCAGCATTAACATTAAAAATTTTCAAGTCTAACGCCGGTAGTGCGACAAAGGCTCCACAGTATGTCTACAAATAGCCTTATTTATCATTCCTTTGTCGCAAACACCGCTATATCTTCCCCATTCAAAATAAATTCCAATCTCAACTAATTTTACTTCCCTGCTCTCCTTCCAGGTTAGTGCCATCCAACATGTCGACGTCTGCATGTTCAGCAATGGTAAATTCAAAAATATTGTCGCCGACTCCGATACCAGCTCGCCCGTAGACCGCATTGTACCGCCCGGTAGCACATTGAATACGACAGTAATACTCAAACCGAAGCGTGGAAAGACGAAAAATTGGATTGCACTCGAAGATCCATTGCAACGCAGCACCGAACCGGATGAGGTACCCAGCATACTCGCCGCCTCAGCGGTGAATTCACCAAATGTAATACCGGTACAAGGCCAATTAATGAACCCCACCAACAGCAGCATTGTGGGTATACCGCAACAGAATGGTTATCATGGGCACGGCATGTCAGGTGTTGTGGGCGATGATCGCAATATCTTCGCGATCTATGTCTCCTACTATGTAAAGGTAAAGTTGTCCTTAAGCCCAATGGGTGGTGAGCTCTCGCTAAAGTTGCCCTTTGTATTGGTACATGTGGAGGTACCACCGCGTCTGGAGCCGCTCGCACTAGATGCAGTGCCAGTTGGTAAAAGAAATTGCACTAAAGCCAGAAGTGAGACGCTTTCACGTACAATTACACCACGCAAAGATGATAACGGCAGACTTGGTGTGCATGCGCAACAACTCGATCGCATCGAATCGGTGGATGATGAGTCGGTGCGCTTACCAATACCAGAGGCAACCAATGCGGCTGGTGCAGTGAGCAACAAACGCAGGCTGGTGCGCAGCGAAACGCTTGCCAAAGATTTGGATGAAGAAATCGAAGAGCAGGCCGAAGTGGCGGCTGAAAAGAGTATACCAATTACCGTGGCGTGTGCGCCGACGCGCGAAGCTGGTGGGTTAGAACAAATCCATGTCGTACAAATACATTCGAATGCTTTGGAGAATAAAGAAACTGAGTTCGAGAAAGATAAACAGCGCCAGACGCTTGAAGTCGCCGAGACGAAGATGCACAAAGACTTGGTAGAACCGCAGTTGGAAGTTGACATACAGCGACTGTCACTAGAAGAATCCGTGGGTGACGAAGCAGCAACTGAGCGATTTGAGAAAACTACACAGGACTCGAGCTCACTGAGAGAGACGCCCAATCACAGTGTTGGCAGTCCACAGGCGTCTCAAGTGTGATTCAAATTTTTACGTGGCATTTTTCACAAGAAACACAAAGCAAAGTTCCTCGAAGTGAAATAGACACGAGAACGAAAAAGAAACATAATTGCAGCCAAAGAAGTAGAAAATAAGTTTTGTTATTAAGGAAACGAGTGGTTTAAGAAGTGAGCTCGGTTAAGTTCATCGAGCGCACGAAGTAAGGAGGTAAGAAAGAGATCAATCACAAAATAACATATTTCTTTGATTGAACATTACGCTAAGTAGGGATATATTCAGATTGTTAGTTAGTCAAGGGAAAGCAATATGTTCATTATGCTCTCCAATTCTCAGCACTCCACTTTATCTAGTTCTTGGTTGGTTCGAAGCAGAGGTTCTGGATCTTGGTACGAGCGGCCGCAATCAGCCCATTGAGCGGGTTGTGCGAGCTTCACAACATAACTGAAATATTACCGGTAGTCCGGACTTGATGCGTGGGGAACAAAATGATGTCTGAACTAGCTGAAGGCTGGGCACTCATCAAAGTAATTCACCTACTTTTCGCTCTCTGGATGCTCTCAGGCGATTTCATCTCATACTTGCGGCGATGTTATCTAAGGAACAGATGAGCTGATGCTTCCTTAAAAATTTTAACTTAAAAACAATTACTCGTCGAAAGAAGCAAATATGTTTAATATTATATGTTGGCGCTTCTCCTCCCGTAAAATGTCAACAATTGCAAGCATCCGCTGAAACCAGTTCCTTCTCGAGCTCAGAGTGGCAGTCTTGTTCCTTCTTGGCAACTGTAGTGTTTACGTTTACACGTCTCCAATCTCTCTAAGACCCCCAAAGCCGACTCATCGGATGCACGATTTGAAAGTCAGGACCATAAAATGTGACGTGCTAGCCAAGACGGAAATGCGCTAACTATTTGTAGGAGGATCGAACTGCTAAGAGAGGTCCTCCCGAAATCTGACGTGAAAGCTTAAGCTTCAATTGCCGGAAATGCTTTCATGCGACAATGTTTTTACAGACCCTTCATTCACATTTTAATAGCTCGGTCGGCGATCCATCGGCTCCAGCTACTTTGTTGTTCTTCTCCATAGTGCTGGTGTTGCATTTTCAGTGCCTTTCAGTAGGCTGGAGAAGTGTTTTTTCTATAAAATTAGTATAATCTGAATATCAGTCGCTAGGTGGATCACCGCTCTGGATCCTACAAAAGATTTCAATGCTCTTGAAACCTTTCGCAAGTCTTCACATCTTGTCTTTGCGTTTTGTATTCCTTTTTGGCACTCGTTGGTCGATCGCAACGAGTTAGGCAGCCTACTTCCTTTCCACTGTAGCGAGGCATACTTCGCCGTACCAGACGTGTCCTCGCTGCGACAAGGCAGTGATCCGAGTCGCTGTTGGGTCTCCGCATTGGGCATTCATAAAGTCAACCTTTTGTTAATCCCCTCAAAGATATACATTGGCCTATCTACTTATTTGTATGAGTGGAACACTTCTTTGCTGCTCAAAGCCTTTAACGAAAATGTCAATGTGAAGGCCTTCATCTAGACTTTTCCACACTCCCATTGCAGCCAAAAAATCATAGAAATGCAAAGCGAAAATTCCTACGAACGATCGATGCTTTCATCCAAATCATACTAAATTTTTGTCAACCTGTCGGTGATCCCTTTGCCGTAAAGAAAGTATTCGAAGATCGAACTTAGTTCTACAATATGTCTCTGGTCCATTTCCAGGCAGCAGAGTTGCTTCTTTTTGGGCGGATTCTCTAAAGTTTATTTAAAAATTAAATAAAATAAGCAATTTTTTTTGCAAATAGATCGATACACTTCCCGCAAAAAAAAATTCAAGCGAAAAGAACCACAAATACGATTTTTCCGAAAAGATCAGTATCTGGTACACTTCGCAGCAGAAGAGTAGGCTGCCTTTTAGTCTGAACAAAAAGCCGACTGCAAACTGAATTTTAAATAAATGCATAAGATTTTTCCAAATATCTCAGTCCGTAGTTCACTTTCCAAAATTTTTTGTTCGAATAAACCTTCCCAGCAGTTCGAGGGAGATAAAATACCTAAATTTCAAGCCAAACGGTCGATATCTTTTGGAAACCTTCGCAAGCGAAAAAAAAAATTTTTATAAATTTAGAAAAAAATTAAATAGAAAAAAAAAATAAATAAATTTTAAGAAAATAAATTTTTTGTATTTAAAATAATATTTTCCTTTCTTTTAATTCTTTTCAGTTATCTAACCCTGAACCTGGGATATGGTTTGAAGTGGTGTGATTATGTTCCTAAGGTTTCAACTTTTCCCGAACTCCCTTCAATGTTGGTAGTTTTAGAGCATAATAAATTAATTATAATTGAAAAAAATGTTCGCTTAATTTTAATAAGAATTTGTAAATACTAGAGATTTAAGTATCTGTATGTAAACTTAATTTTTACCAATTTTTTATTATTATTTTTTTATTATTTGTTTTTAAGATTACCAACTAAACAGAGCTTGGAGAAACGTTTTAAAATTCTGCTGAATGATTGTTGTTGAAAATTATTATTTAATAATAGTTGTAGTTGTTAATATTTTATGTAAAAATGTTGCACATAAAGTGAAATAAATAAAAACAAAAGGTTAATAAAAAAATTTTAATGTTTCGAGTCTTTAAAAAAATTTTGAAATTTCACAAAACGTAGTTGGCATTGCAAAGAAACTCTGCTGCTGCTCTTTTTCGAAGAGACTTTTGGCAAATATAAGTCTCTAGCGAGAATACTCATAGGTAAGCCATGATCCATACACTAGGAGAGAGAGCGCCCACCCTTTCAAGCTACCTGCAAACTATTCACATCATTCAAACTCATCTCAAAGTACCGATGCTGAAATCAGTCGCCTACCGTAGTTACTCGGTCAAGTAATCGATACTCGGACACGGGATCTCTTATTGTAACCGTGTAGAACCTTGGGTACGAACAAATAGTGAAACGTAAAAAAGCATTTTACATGCATCCCAACATCGACACTGGACTTGCTACAATAATATACCTTCCCGGGAAAGAGAGGTTCTAGTTTTAACTAGAATCCGACAAGTTTTCATTTTGGTACTCACAGTTCATCTTCCATCTATTTTCCATGTAATTACCCATGTATACATCAGCTTTATTCTAGTTAAATACCAGTCCAATTACGCATGTTGACTGTCACTCCACAAGCTGCAGTGATAACCTATAACCACTCGGCTCATGATCAAGATTATTCGCCTAGCAATGTCCTTTTGCCTATTTCAACAGATCATAACTTAATCGCATCAGCAATAAGTGAACGAATGATCAGCCTTCGTTCACACAAACTGCGTAACAGCTATTTCTCAACCAGAGTACATTGTTGAGTCCGTATTAAACATCCAATCTAAACGCAGGTACGTCAATCTTATTAGGTAAGCAGTGCGCATAAGCAACCGAGCTAGATCTTGCCGTGATTTAAGTAAAGCTATTTGGTTCTTCCAACTAAGCTAGACATTCCCTCACAGGCTCACAATGGAGTGTCAAAATGCTGACTAGCTCTCTCTAACACCACAGCTCTTACTTATCTAGTGTGCAAGTACAAGAGCCACGGTATCTGTGCAGTCTTCCTAGATCCCATCGTAGTCGACGGAACTGGTTTGTTAAGCCATTATTAATATTGATGGTAACATGTCAACCTGGAGACTGCCATAGCAACTCACCAGTTATTCCGAATCTACTGTGAGCCAGCTTGTGCACCTACTATCATTCATTAGTTACGCTGAGATGGGTGTCCCCTACTAATATGATCTCTCTACAACGAATACAATTATCCGCCATAACCCCGTTGTCTCTCTCACTTTCTCTCTTTTTGGGTGAAAGTTGTTGGCATTCTAGCCGTCAGTAATCAGGTTAAGCACAAATAGCTACCTTTTTTTATTTTTGGCAGGGGATAGCGGGAGCTTCGTTCCATTTGGAAACGTTGAACTCACCTCAACCTTTGACAAACCCCATCTCACACTGCTTAGACCAATTGACTTCATCTTATTTGCTAAAGATCCCGGAATAAAACTAAACCGAAATTCTGAGCTTCATCGTCATCATTCCAAATTTGGTCTATGTTATCCCGCATAATTATAGAGATAGGTTCTTCATTGGAAGTACACCGGTAAGAAGAGTGTTTCTCGAAGGTCCAGTGTTCTGGACACTGTTATAAGGCGCCGAAAGGTCTGAAGCAGTCGGTGGTGGCAGCCACACAACCAATAATGCTCTTTGATATGGCGAATCCAGAGTTCTTTTAAGACGGAAACGAGAATTAAAGTAAGAAGGACAGACTGCCGGCAAACCTTCATTAACATTATGGACGACTACAGGGGTGGTGATTCCAGATAGAAATCAATGGGACCGAGTTGCTCTAGCACATGCCGGCTCGAATCGCTTTTCACGAAATTGTTCAAACCGGAAAACAGGGTCGGTAGTAGAACCAATACTAAGAACAGCGAGCCCGAAGATATATGTCAAAACACAGCATCATACGGTATAGCGCGATACCGCTCACGATTGTAAGGAAGAGAGCCTCATTTCCACTCGTCGCCATTATTGAAGGTTTTTGGCATGTCACAATTCACTTGTATCTCACGCATTGCACGCAGCGGCTAAGTCTTACTGGAAGTCTCACTTGCTGCGTTATGTCCAAGGCAATGCGGCTGACATGATATAAAATGAGGGGTTTTTTTAGTGGCATCTTCTAATAGACAGGTATGAATGTCAGCTCGGCATTCAAATAAAAGTCTACTGGAGGAGTTGTAGAGAAGAGGTAGGACCGGAAACCGTTAAAGTGATTTCTGCGGGAGTTTTAGAGAGGAGGAAGAAACTGAAACCTTAAAGGGAGTTCCGCAAAAGTTGTGAAAAGGTCGCCGAACATGAAACTTAATGCGCGTTTTGGGATAATGGAGGGATACCATAAGATGCTTGCTTTCCGAAACTCTACGCTTTAGAGGCGTAGGTAGGTGGAAGCCTATAGGGGCGATGATCTATACAGACTTCCGCGAAATTGCGATTAGAGTGGAGCTCACTGCACTCATTGGTAAGACTTGCGGATAGAAGCACATAGTAACCTCAGTAGCATTACAATGGATCACTGTGCTAAGGCACAAAAGCCATTTATACCTAATCTAACCTAACTTTAGACATGATAGCACAACCCAGTATGTTCCCGTTTTTAACTGTTGAAATCTTTGATATTGGAGATTAAAGGAAACTAAGGAACTTTGAAATCTATCTATATTTTTTAGTTCAAACAGGAATTAGAGCGTTTTCCAGAACTCAGGATTCGCCGTCGTTTAAAGCCTTAGAATTTTCGTATAAGCTATGCTGGAGCTGGAAATAAGCAGTCTGATCTGAGTCTATTAAAGAAACACGGATGAATACCAAGACCGCTGCAAGCACAATTATAAGGGATAAATTAGAGAAAGGCAAAATCCACAAAGCGGTAAATGAAATGGGAAAAACCACGCTCAATAAGACAAATATGGTGTATTATAAGATGTAGCCTACATCAGGGCGCCAATAACGATCTGCAGGAGAAAAAGTGCCAGCAAAAGCAAAAAAAGACCACTGGAAGCTTTATAAATATGTGAACTGTCGAAAAGAATAGAAAACAAATCAATGCCAATTTGAATAAAATAGAGAACCAACGATTAATTAGAATGTTTGTTTAGAATTTGCGACAAAAAAATTTCTTTAAATGATTGAATATGCGCTAAAATACTCTAGCCCAAAATAAAATATTGTTTAGTTGCACAAATATTTTTTCTATGATGCCTGATTGAATATAAAAACCGATGACAAAAATAATATGAACAAATTTAAACCAAAATCACAAAGGACAAGTCGCTTTCGCCACTTTCCCATGCATATTGTTAACAGACTTCAATATTTTTGAACATTTTTTGCCATGGAAACACAAACAAATACTTTCACCTTCGATATCCATCAATCATTTGGGCCTAAGAGGATTTGCTTGCTGATTGAGCTTACATTTACATTTTCGGACATTTACCGTTATTGCTTTTTATAGATATCTATGTCCCAACACAGCTGAGCTGCTCATAGTGAGCACTTGTTGGTAGTATTTGCAAATATTTTGTTTCAATAAATATTTGAAATCGAAGAGAGGCTTACATAATGTATTCGAGGGGTCGGTAAGTTGGCCAGAAAAAAATTAAAAAAAAAATTTCTCGTTCATTCAGCAGTTCGTAAATCCGCTTTCTTCCTGTTTTCCAAAAAAAAAAGGTTTAAAACTTTTGGCAAGCACTCTTCGTTGTACCATTTTGCAGTTACCGTTCGACATTTTTCCGGTTCTGGAATCAACTTAATTTCTTGTACAGAATGAGTCCTAATTTATTTGCAGATCCAGCAGACCCAAAGGACTCAGCAGCACAGCTGCGTTCTTGGGCGCACTGGTGTTGAAATCTTTGGAATTTTTATATTTCCTAGTAAAGAGAGCAAAAGCTGTCGTCTGTGACTTTATGCCTTATTCATTAGACCTCTTTTCTGTCCACTTAAGACCGCTAGGCATGTCATCACTTAAAGTTTGTGAGAATTCGCCAGTCGCCAGGCAAATTGTCCGCATACACTTTATCCTCGCAAACCTCCTCCTCCTCCTCCTCCATGCGTCACAGCAATTGGCAGAGCAGAGCCATAGAAGAAGCGAGCGTACACCACTTTAAGGGGTTTCTCTACTGAATATATGTGACACATATGAGATATTGTCCGACAGTCGAGGCTCAGGTAAGTCAGGGCAGAAGTAATTGCACAGCCTATTGCTTCCGGAGATCTACTTATCGATGCATTAGTAAAGTGGGTATTTATGAGAAGGCTGGTAGTTTATGCCGCATATATTGTTCACGTGCCGTCGGGCCTTTGAAAGCAAACTGTTAGGTGTACTTATGAATATTCTCTTCCGACGCTCTCTCCATATATAACATATTTTCGTATTGTTAATATGAGCAACATTTAGTTAAGGCTCAGAAAAACCGAACTATGGTCTATGTATGTATTTATGGTGCTTTTTCCAACAAACCTCTACTAAGCCACCACCGAACGACCAATGAATTTCTATGAAAAGTTTTTTTTTTTCATGTCAGAATTACACTTGAAAGGCTTGACGGTCCCTGCCAAGAGCCGGCCTAAATTATGAAAATTAATTTTGGATTTTGTTCGAACCAGGTCCCGAACCCCGACCATCCAAATGACAGTACGGAATACCAGCCACTGCACTTTGGATTTAGCACCACAGCTGAAGTCTAGCACTAAGCACTTCAGACCTCTGTGTCCAGGTAGTTCAAGAATTCAGCCTAGGTAAGGCATGACTGTCGTAAGAGGAGAATGAAATTAAATAATTCCCGCGATAGATGGGTCTTTGTAATGGAACGACGCAAATTTTCAAAAAATCAATGACTGTCCCTCCTGCTATATTCACCGAAACCCAATTTGGGGGAATATTTTTGTGGTTACTAC